GGTTTATTTTATTATATATCAATGGTCAATCATTCATGTGAATCAAATACATTTTGGATATGGTTTGATTATAATAATAAACAAGAAATGAAATTAATTGCTGATCGTCGTATTAAAGCTGGAGAAGAGCTTGTTTGTTCATATATAGGTAATTATATAGTTAATTGGACATGCCAAATTTTGTCGAAGAAACACCTTTCTAAAGTCGTTTATGCTTTTCGCGACTTGAAATTTCAGTACTTATTTGTGTTAAATATTTTTAAGCTTCTAAATAGATTTTGGTTTTTGCGTGGAATAAAGCAAGCAGAGTTGAAATTCACGTCCCGAAAAAAGGACAAAAGTCGATTTAGAATCCAAGTTGCTTTTGCTGTCTGAAAAGGTTATCGATATCTTTGCCATCGACATTTTCTCGCGATCAAATGAACTTTTGCCATTCCTTGGTCGATCTCGACATTTTTTAACTTTGAATTTTTTCTGAATCGACTTTCTTTTTCTGTTTATTTCGTATATAGAACGATTTCATTTACGTGAACGACGACATGAAATCTTACAAAATAATTGGTTATTCAAATGTCAATGTCATATTTGTGAACGACATGAGAAAGATAAAAAATTTGATGAACAATGGGCCTCTTATTCAAAAGACAACGATTTTATTTTGGGATATGATTCGAAACTATCACAAGAATGTATGGAAAAATTTTCCAAATCACTAAAATTCATACAAGAACATTATCATAATAGTTTATTACAAATGTTTATGTTACATTTCAGTATTCTTGTACCATGTTGTATGTTGAAACAATGGCAAGATGTTGTTAAATATTCAAAAAAAGCAATTTGTCTTGGAAAAATAATCTATGGTGATGATTATGAAAGATATTTAATACCGATAAAAGAAATCATTGAAGCAAAAGTGCCAATGGAATATCGTACTGGATTAGAAAAATATTTTAAATAAATGTTGTATTTTTGAAAATAAAACTGGCGGTATAGGTGTGAAATATGAAAATATGAATCGGTCTGATTTTTTTGTCTGTCAACACTCAGATGTTTGGATGCATTTGATAATGGAAATTGATGAATAAAACGAGTATAAACCAGAATTCAATTGAGGTACGCTCGACATTTGAGAAAATCCACTTGCGAAATACCATGCTGAGACATTTACCAATTCAAACGATCGCATAATCATTTGGATTTTGATCAACTCTGATTCACATGCACAG